ATTAGATACCATCCGCGCTATGCTGTATGCTACATCATAAGACGACTTACCGAGAACAGTATGCTGTATCAGAACAGCAGACCATGTAAAACTTGGTCCCCCACTTCGTTGGTTTGTCCTTCATGTAAATTCGCATGGGGTTGTATTGATGCCTGCTGCCAATTATCCCTTCATCGAAGGAAAGCGTGGAACCCATTCGGTATCCGTTTCGAAAGGTCTTCTCAATCATCTGGAGGACAGGACGCAATTTCCAAGCTTTGTCTTTCTTGTGGCGGTTGTTCGCATTGTCATTGAAGTGTAGATAGCGCGTGATCTCCTCAAAGCGCTTGCGAGTCATGAATTTGCCGAACGTGCCTCGTGGAATTGCTCCATTCTCAGACGTCGACCAGTGATCTCCTAGTGAACGTCGGTGGGCGCACAGAGCACGAGCTATAAGCAGTGCAATGTAATGAACTATCTCGTGAGCTTGAAAGGGTTTCACCTTGCTCAAAGTGTCTTTGATATCTGATAACGACTGGACTCGACTATCTGGGTGCGTAAGTTGCCACTGTTGCTGACGGCGTTGCTTTTGGATAGCGACTTCGTCTACCACACTCGCACGATATCGATTGGATTCCTCAGCAATTTTGGTCCACATCAACTTCGGCATGAAGTAGTAGAACATGGCGAGAGGTGACTCCGCATATGCTCGCGCAGACTCAGTTGGACCCCACCGGCCATTGTAAAGATCCGATGCACCATCTACTTGCAGGTCTCCGCTGTGGTCTTGATCGTATACAACCCACGCAGAAGAAACTGCCTTCAATTCCGTGTCACGGAGAAAATCAGGATTGGCATTGTCATTTTCTCGAGGGGACCAGTCATCATCAGCAACATCCTCAAAGAATTCGCCGTCATCTAATCCGTCATCGTTGTCGCTCAGAGCATCATCGGCGGCATCACTTGCCAAGTTCACTTCCGCGTCCATTACTTCGTGAATATAATTTTCCGTATCAATATCATCAGACTTGTCGCTCTCCGAGTCCGAGTCACAGAGATTGGGATCGTCTGCATCCGCATTTTGAGACCATTCACACTTGGACAAAGCGGAAATGAATCTATTCGAATCGTGCATGTTGAACTCTGCAACGTCATCAAGTTCGGGCTCCTCACCTTTTTCCTCTTCCTGTACTGCAGCGTGACCTTCTGCTGTATCAAGATGCAGAGGCAGCGTCATGGTGTTTTCTTCTGCTGTATCAGACAGGATAACGCTTGAAGCTTGTGCTGTAGAACCCAGAGTAACAGGACGCACAATCCGAGCTTTTACTGTAGCATCTCGAGTAGCCACACTCGCAGTCCGAACTTGTGCTGTAGCCGGTTGAGCAGCTGCGGTCGAGGGCCGAGCTTGTGCTGTATTAGCCAAAATAACTGGACTCGAAGCCCGAGCTTGAGTTGTACCGGCTACATTGGTTGCCGTCGCAGCAGAGGTCCTAGTGGCTGGCACGTTCTCTTTAGCAGGCGGGGTAGTCGTTGGTGCTATCTCCCTTTCGACTTGATCAGCTGCGCTAGAAGTGGACCTATCATCGCACGCTCCGCCGTCTGCAGGCGGTGCCGTCAATGCTGTCGACGAAGTGGAGGGAGGTGTAGTTCCAGCGATGACACAATACTCTAACCAGCCACGCTGTCGAGCAAACTCCAGTAGCGCTTTCTCGCCTGAGGGGACAAATCGGTTAGTAAAGTTATTGTGATCGATGCAAACTAGTGGTGCGAGCTGTACCGGTGAAGTAGTCGACGCCATCCTTTCCTTTCACGCTTCTTCCCGGGCGGACGTAGCGGTGGTCACTACTAAGGCCGGTGGAGGGCTTCGGTGTCCACCCTTGCTTGCAAAGCTCTCGCCAGAGCTGCTTGAACGTTTTTTCCATGCTGTTCGAGTTGGGCGGAGAGGGGCGGAGGGAGACCGAGACTTCAAATGTAGTGGGGAGGGAGCGGGATAGCGCGATCGACACAAACCTCTATCCACCCGATAGCATCCGAAGACGGGCTC